TTAAAAAAAAAAAAAAAAAAAAAAAAAAATGCTGTTTTTGGCCAGGCACTGTGGCTCATGCCTGTAATCCCAGCACTTTGAGAGGCGGAGGCAGGGGGATCATGAAGTCAGGAGTTTGAGACCAGCCTGGCCAATGTGGCAAAACCCTGTCTCTACTAAAAATACAAAAATTAGCCCAGGTGTGGTGGCTCATGCCTGTAATCCCAGCGCTTTGGGAGGCCGAGGCAGGTGGATCATGAGGTCAAGAGATCGAGACCATCCTGGCTAACATGGTGAAACCTCATCTGTACTAAAAATAAAAAAAAAAAAAAAAAAAAAAAAATTAGCTGGGTGTAGTGGTGGGAGCCTGTAGTCCTAACTACTCGGGAGGCTGTGACAGGAGAATCACTTGAACCCGGGAAGCAGAGATTGCGGTGAGCTGAGATCGTGCCATTGCACTCCAGCCTGGGTGACAAGAGCAAGACTACATCTCAGGAAAAAAAAAAAAAAAAAAATATATATATATATATATATATATATATATGCTGTTTTTGATGCACAACAGGAGAAACAAGGCTCCCCCCAGGAGCTGGCAGTCTGATGGAGAGGGGTCTGATAATACATAGATAGAGGTAACAGAGTATAGGGTTGGCCCAGCAGGACAGTGTTCCTTGTAGGGAGAGCTTGGTAGGGATTATATTAGAAGAATGAAATGAAGCTAGTTTCAGACTGGGATCCAGGTCTTCAGGTTCAGATCGGTATCTAGGAGCTAAGTTGTGGTGTTGAGGTAATGCTTCTGGTTGAGTGGCAGCCTGTTCATGTGATTCTCTTGGCCTCTTCAACTACTTCAAGTGCCAGTTGCCAAGGCCAACTTGCAGTGACATTAGATTGGTAGTTGGATTAGTAGGTGTCTTTCTGCTCCTTCACTTATTTAAATGCTCCTAATATCTTTTTCTTTTTTACTTCCTAACCACTAGATGACCAGGGATGCTGTTAACTTCCTTGTGCAGCTTTTTCTTTCCTTAAAAAGAGTGAAGTCTGATTTGGGAGAAAGGCCTCATTATTTCCATCTAGAAACTGAAGTTGCTTTTATCCAGAAAACCCCGTTGAGGATCCTGCCTGCACAGTGCCCAGTACTTATCCAAGTCAGTCTGTCAAATGTTCACCTGCATTGCATCCTTGGTACATGCAAAGGCCTGGAGCTGTGTTCTGGAGGATTTTGAAATACGTGCTAGAAAGGAAATGGCTACTCAGAAGTCCCACAGGGGCCATTCTGGGCTATTTTAACAAAGCGGTAATAGCAAATAAATTTTGGCCTTTTGAAGTGTTTTTTTTTTTTGATCCAGTGATCGATTAGAAATAAGTCAGTTTGGGCCAGGCAAGGTGGCTCACGCCTGTAATCCCAGCACTTTGGGAGGCCAAGGTGGGTGAATCACAAGGTTAGGAGTTCAAGACCTGGCCAAGATGGTGAAACCTGTCTCTACTAAAAATACAAAAATTAGCTGGGCGTGGTGGCACATGCCTGTAATCCCAGCTACTCGGGAGGCTGAGGCAGAGAATTGCTTGAGCCTGGGAGGTGGAGATTGCAGTAAGCCGAGATTACACCACTGCACTCCAGCCTGGGCAACAGAGTGAGACTCCGTGTCAAAAAAAAAAAAAAAAAAAAAGAAAAGAAAAAGAAGGCCGGGCGCGGTGGTTCATGCCTGTAATCCTAGCAATTTGGGAGGCCGAGGTGGGTGGATCACCTGAGGTCAGGAGTTCAAGACCAGCCTGGCCATCATGGTGAAACCCCATCTTAAAAAGAAAAAGAAAAAGAAAAAAAAGAAATGAGTCAGCTTTGTAGTAACTCAAGTTTAAAGGAGAAGATGTGTTATTTTTTCTTCTGGACCCAGGAAACAAAGTATTTTTTTTTTTTTTTTTTTGGGGATGGAGTTTCACTCTTGTTACCCAGGCTGGAGTGCAATGGCGCGATCTCGGCTCACCGCAACCTCCGCCTCTTGGGTTCAGGCAATTCTCCTGCCTCAACCTCCTGAGTAGCTGGGATTACAGGCATGCACCACCATGCCCAGCTAATGTTTTGTATTTTTAGTAGAAACGGGTTTTCACCATGTTGACCAGGATGGTCTCGATCTCTTGACCTCGTGATCCACCCACCTCGGCCTCCCAAAGTGCTGGGATTACAGGCTTGAGCCACTGCGCCCGGCCGGAAACAAAGTATTAAAGTCTGTCTGGCCAGTGAAAGGAAATGAATGCTATTTATATCTCAGGGTAACATAAAGGGTAACCTAGATTACCAGAGTAGAAGCCAGAAAGCATGTTAGCAAAATAGCCCCTGGGTTGGTTTTCCCTCTCACTCTCTCTTTCATCTTGCTTTGTCAGTACTAATAGGTAAAACTTGTGTGACCAACATATCCTTTTAACATGGAGAAAATAAATTTGCTTTTGTTTACCTTAGAGTACAAATATCACCCATCATTTCTACCTTTGTGGGAAGGTCTGCAGGCTCCTCAGTAAATTATTTTAGGCCACTTGGTTTCCTTAAACAAAAGAGAACTGTATTCGTTCTTCTTCTTCCTTTTGTTGTTCCCCTATCCATTTTCCTTCTTGGTGCCATTTAACCCCGTTTTTTGTTTCTAGCACAGGAGAACCCACTAAAGAGTCTTTTTTTCTTCTGAAAACAGTTTGTTTTGGAATTCTACAGTGATTGTTGAGAGCAAGTGAGGTGACCCACAAACACTCAGTTAGGAGTGGAGCTTTGAACAGAAAAATCCTCAGGGAGGGACGGTTCAGGAAGAGGAAGGCATCAATATTTATTAGAGGAAAGATGCTGTACTGTTGGAGGATAGATGCTAGCTGACTTGCATGCTTTTCTTTGCTGCTTAAAATGTACTATTTGCCCGGCACAGTGGTGTGGACCTGTAGTCCCAGCTACTCAGGAGGCTGAGGTGGGAGGCTAAAGCGGGAGTCTTGCTTGAGGAGTTCCAGACCAGCCTGGGCAACAAAGTGATATCTCTATATTTAAATTAATGAACTAATTAAATACATTATGCTCTAACAGTTTTGTTGTTGGTGATCCATACATGTACTGAAGCTAGAAAATGTGAATGAGAAGAGGCTTTCTTTCTTGGAATGCCAATGATGAGGATTTAAACAAAGTGGGTGTCAAGTAGCCTGGACATTTTTCTTTTCATCATTGTTCCTTGGTGCACTATTACTCTCCTTTTTTGTTTTTATTTATTTTTATTTTATTTTATTTTTTTTGAGACAGAGTCTTGCTCTGTTGCAGAGGCTGGAGTGCAATGGTGTGATCTCTGCTCACTGCAGCCTCTGCCTTCCGGGTTCGAGCAATTCTCCTGCCTCAGCCTCCCAAGTAGCTAGGCTTACAGGCCCGTGCCACCATGTCTGGCTAAATTTTGTATTTTTAGTAAAGACCGGGTTTCACCTTGTTGGCCAGGTTGGTCTTGAACTCCCGATCTCAGGTGATCTGCCCACCTTGGCCTCCCAAAGTGCTGGGATTACAGATGTGAGCTATCATACCTGGACTAATTTTTGTATTTTTAGTACAGACAGAGTTTCACCATATTGGCCCAGCTGGTCTCGAACTCCTGACCTCAAGTGATTCGCCTGCCTTGGCCTCCCAAAGT